GCTACTTGATGGACCTCACTCCTGCCAAACAAGACCTTACCAGGTAGCTCAGGTAAGGGAAACTGTGAATCGCTAGCAAATGAGGAATTGGTTTCTTTCAGACTAGAATAGAGCTCTTGTAGCTTGACCTACAATGTACAATACATGTATATAACACAGAAAAGGAAAAGGATCATTGTAGCATAAAATGTAATGAACAGATTCTTCTAAGTGTGTTAAATACACAACCAGCCATATTGAGTCATCTGATCAATTAAACACTAATGGGAATGCTACTCCTCTACATTCCATCACAACATGCTGAAATATCTACTATAGTAATTATATACATGTAGGCTGTTCATTTATTTAGCCACTATAATGGGCACTATTATAGTATAATGATTTCACTACCGAAACAGGGCTGTCTATTACACTGGTACAATTACTAAAAACACTCTCAACCTCCTCTATCATCAAGAAGAATCTCAAATTCCTCTCATTCTAAACATGCAATGTACATGTACATGTATCTCTTATAACAAGCTCATTGGAATTGTTTTGACTGCCCATTTAAAGTTATTATGTGCACACCAAACAAATGAGGAACATAATAACACAATAATAATAATAATAATAATAATAATAGTAATAATGCATTATTATTAGTGTTTGCACACATTGACTCAGTAACATTATTCTCTCCCTCTACTTATATAGTAAAGGACACAGATTGTTCTCTGTTTGATGAGGTGGGGGAGTCAATCAGGATTTAATATCATATTGTTGTTGGCTCAAAACGTCGTGTTACTTAAGTTTGGTCTAATTAGTTCTACACCTATACATTACAACCTGTTTGTTCAGCTTTCATAGATATCATGATTATTGTCTGATTGAAACAAATAAGGAGAATATAGTATCACAGCTGAGACACATACATTCCTCACTAACAGCAAATATGCACGTAAAAGTTATACATGAGTACACATTACAATGACATGAGATAAAGAGTGAATGAAGCATATTATCTTCTCCCTCTCATTTAGTAACAGCTCAAGGGGCAAAGATTGTAAATATGCATTATTTTATGCATAATATCTACACACACAAAAATGGGATATTAAGGACTCACCATAAAATCAAAGAACATGCTGTACCGCCTGTATATGACTGTGGACTGTCCATTGGACCAGTTGACTACTATCTTGTAAACCTGGTCAAGAGATAAAGAGCCATCATTAGTCTCACTCTCTACTGCATAGAGCGAGGCAGAGAGCTCTTCAACAGAGCAGCAACTCATAGCAGCGTCGGGGGACAAGAACAAAATGCGAGTGGCTATTTATAAAGATTGTTTAGTCTTCAGGAGACTATAGAGCTCTAAGTCTTAAAAGGGCACCCTAAACATGCACGCCCAAACAGCTGCCATACTGCCCTGGAAATTGAACTTACATAGTGTTTGGTTGGTTGTCTCCGCTTCTTCGCCTCTGGGACAGAGACGCTGGTTATGATTGGTTTGCTCTCAGCAATAATATCTCCAAAAGAGGCAGATGTCTCGTAAAGTGGCTCCATGAAGATGCCAATACTCTGCTGCAGAGTGGATAGAATGTTTGGATTTGGAATTAATCTTAGCTCATAAAACAAACAAGCCCCACCCTTTAACTCTGCGCGGATACGCGGGGCTGTTTAATGCGCATGCGCAGTAACGCCCTCAAAGAACCACGTTGGCTTCAAACACATGTTGAGTTTTTGTTTGTTTGCTGACTCTTTCATCTGAGAGTTATCTGTGGTTTTATCTTATCCTAAACCCGTCCGTCATGATTTTATCTTCTTCAAGTCTACAACAGAGAAACCGAGAGGAGCAGCTCCAACAAATTTGACGATTGGTACGCGCAGCAGCCTATGACGAATCCTCAGTCGTAACTCGTAGGAGATATAATACTCGGACTGCCGGGACTATTGAGTAGGGAGTATGGAACACGGAACTTTTTGAAGGAGTGTGTAAGTTTTTGCACACTTAATTTTTGTTTGAGCCTTGTTTTCAGTAAAATGTGGTTGGTGACGTGTTATTAACTTCAAGTTTAAGCTTGTATTTTAAATTAGGCCATTCGTTTTATGGGCAAAGCTGATTAGGGCAAGAAAGCGGTTTTATTAATAATTTATTCTTAAAAAAATCAATTATTACAATATAAATTGATTCGTAATAGTCAAATAATTAATTGCCAATGTGGGTGTGTGTGGGTGGGAAAGAAGAAACAATGAACCTACCATTCTGAGCACTGGCAGATCCAGAAAAATCAAAAGGGGGTTCCATTTCACTTAAGTAGGTGGGACTCATTAATTTTAATTAAAATTTGGGTGTGGCTCATCAATTTTAATTAATAAAATAGAAAAAAAGTGTAGCAAACTGGCTGCAATAATACTACAAAAGACAACTTCTGCCAAAGGGGGGTTCCGTGGAACCCATGGAACCCCCCCTAAATCTGCCACTGCTGAGATTATCAGTATCATTTTAATTATTAGAGAACAAAATAAACACATGACACATACCGTACTCTATGATGTCTACCAAAGAGAAAAGTGGCAGTCAACTCTTTGCATGGAAGGTACTGAAGGTACTACAAATAGTCTTGCAGTATTTTTTAACAGTCGTGTTCCTTTTATTTTTTTAGTATTTTCGTAATTCAAACTGAAGAAGGCATTTAGATTCAAGAAGGGGCGGTGCAAGACTAGGTGAAATAGAATTGGAAGCTCTGTGCAGGCAGGAGTCCTGGTGCAGTCTGTAAATGTTCAAGAAATACTGTGAGTGGTAATATAATCTAGTGTTACGTTTCAATCAATATTTTATGCCTACATGGAACAGTTTTTAGCTAAACCATACCATTTTGGTATAGCTACTGTTTGTGTACTATAAATGCTCGGCTGTAGTGCAGCTTAGCTCAATACAACTAAACTCTGCTAAAACTGGATGTTACTCACGTATACTAACAGTTGGTGTATCAAATGGTATGGTTCAGTCAAGAACTGTTTCTGTAAGTGTGAACATGTTACTGTAATTTGGGAAATTTTCAGTGTTGAATAAATTTCATAGTGCAGTACAAATATGAAATTAAATTACTTGGACATTATGTAACAATGTACCGCCTTGTGGTTCTGCTTGTTAAACTTACATTTGTTTTCATTGGCAAGCAAGGCCTGCCTTGCCTATGATTTTTATCTCTTGGATTGTTGATGTGTAGGAGGAGGTGTGGAACTAATTATTTGAAATGGTAAGTTTAACTTACTAGGCATTGAAGACTACAAATTAGAACTAACACTTTAAAAATGAAATTTATTTAAGTGAAAATTTCCCAAGTTTTTATCTATTATCAAGAGTAGATAATGATATATTTTAGAGTGTGTCCATTGTCCTATTGGCCCTTTATACTTTAATTAAGAGTTTGTTGGACGTGTTCTCCATCATCATTTTTGTTGGTTGATTTTCGTGTTAAGTGGCTTACTACTTGTTACATGAGGCAAAAATCCATTTATCAAACGAGTGGAATAATCTCTGTATTGAAACACAGAAAGGAGCATGTAGCTTACTAGTCATGATTATTAATAGAGCAGGGCCTTTTAGAGGAGGAACCCAGAAGAAAAGGAGGTACTTGCCAGAAGAGGAGGTTCAACTGTCCTGAGGCATTGCATTACCTGAGAAAGCAAACTTTTTATATAGAAAGTAAGCCAGAACGGAATGGACACTGCTTTTTCAGCTAGGCCATGCCCTTGTCCTTAAGAGGTGTACATGTATTTCTGGTCATGTTCTGTATTTGAATGATTTATCTTTAGACCTCAAGAGCTTTATCATGTTCGCCACTGATTTGTTATTATGTATTATATCGGCAACAACAAGACTTGAAATGTTGTGATTACCTTACTGAGATGTTTGTCTAAAATATGGAGTTCACTATTTGAGAAGATACTGCTGCTTATGCTATAGAAGCAATAAGAGGAAAGCCCCTTTTATAAATTCTTTCTAATGATGGGAAATTTAGCAACCTGTTATAAACCTTAGTCTTTGTATGGGTTTATTTTACCTTGCAACTGTGTCGCTACATGTGCGTAAAATAAATCCCACAGACACCTCATCCTTGGTATATAACCTAATCAGACTAATCTTCATTAAAAGTAAGTATGATGACCATCAAATGGAAACAAGTCTTGAATTCACCTGCACTCCTGCATCACACAACACTGAGTTGCTGTCCAATGCAGCAGTGGGGCTGTTAATGAAGCTGGTATCAATTTTGCTAATTACTCTAAAGTTGATTGTTGACTGAAGGAACTTGAGGCCTGCTGGATGTTGCCTATAGACTTTGTGCTATGCTAACTGTTTCTCACCATCTTGAATGATGTAACTTTGGAAGCTACAAAAATTGAAGCCTTTGAAGCTTCATTGTACATCAAATTTCACCCCACCTTTGTTTATACTGTCAAAGTCATAGTTCAGTCCACTATATAAACTTGTGGTCTAGTTAGAACAATCCCTAATAAAACTTTTGACACATGTATTAATTAATAGCTACTAATAGTGAATTATTTTCTCTTTGGAATGGCAGCACTTCAAATGGAGCTTTGTCCCAGCCTCAGTAACTGAAGGTGATCCTTAATTACTGGAGAAGCCAAGAACCAACTGATAGTTCTAGTATGAGTGTCATTGATGTACTCCTGCTGGAGTGAATGAACAGGGAACTGACAAGAACAGCTCTTTCTCATGTCCACACAACCTCACATGGTGCCCTGAAAAAGCTAGCTCTGCTCCAGGCACTAATCCCACTAGTCTGCTAATTACATGACATGCTCACAGGAAGGAAATGCTTAAGCTACTCATGCATATTAACCTAATGTAAAGTATTGTTAGTGTTATCTGTGATGCATCTTAGAGGGTTAAATTTTGTGAATAAAATACACTACAAAAATAACAATAATTATACCCCACAAAAATAATGGTATATTTTAACACTATTTTACCATTTTGCAAAAAACTGAGTAAGCTTATATTGGCATAATGATTCTTTTTCCCACCTGGATTTCAAAATATGTTGCTTTTAATCTTTTAAATTATCAAAAGAAAATTCATCTTTACTGCATACAGAGAGCACCAATAGGTCTTGAGTCCTCTTTCTTTCACCATTATTTATAGCCACACCTTTCTGGCCTTTCGTGTGAGTCCTTATATGTCCTGGAAAAAATATTATCATTATATGACACTGATTCAGGTATCAAATCATGCGCTTCAGCATTACAAATTGATGCTTTCACTAGTAATTGGAGCAGACATTGCACATGTACTGGAATTTCATGTCCTTGTATTTACTTGTATTTTGAAAAGAACAGGTCGTGTATGTATTTGTATTCATTCGCAAATTTTTGTGTATGTACATTTACTTATTGCTTCCCAAATCCGTCTATATTTTGGTAATTTTTTTTGTTTGCTTTTCATGTAGCCACTTTCTCTTCTAAGAATTGTTCGGCAGCAGATCTCTCAATGCTGCCACTAAAAAATTTGTTTTTAACCTTGCATCTAAGAAAATGGCTATAACAAGAGGAAAATCATCTTCAACTCCAGCATATCTTTTATTTAAGGATTTTAACATCTCTGCCTTCATTGTGCATATCTCACTATTGTTATCATGGCTCTGTAGGTTTTTCCAAAGAATTCTAATGAAGGGTTTGATTAGAAATACTGATGCTGCGTTTGTAGAAATAGAATTAGTTAGTTTCTCAATTGGAGAAAGAGCAGATATTAGCTTGTTAACAAGATCTAATTGGTGAGCTGTCAGTTGTGAGATATCTGATTCTGATGCATATGCTGCTAAAGCCATTTTTTGTTCTTTAATCTTTTGGAGGATATACAGAGAAGAGTTCCAGTGTGTTGGTTCACTTTGTTGAAGACAATGTTGTGGAAGACCAAGATTTTTTAAAATTACATTTAAATGAGAACAGGCCAAGTCACTGCTTGTTGAGAGAGTACTCCGTTGTGGACCATGAGCTGGAGGGTATGTGCAAAGCATCCAAGATCAGGCAGTGAAGCTTCCTTCATGGCCTTTGTCATATTGGCAGCTTTGTGTCTTAAAATCAGATGTACCTGTAATTAGTAATTGATAATAGTAAATCAGTAATAGTGTTAAATTGTTTTTCATTTTCATTTTAAAAACTTTCTTTTAAGAAACTCATCTCATTCATTTCTCTAGCTCTCTCATCTCTTATTGTATTGTTTAAAAAGTGTTCTTTTGATGACATTAACTCAATATAATTTATTATAATAATAATAATTATTATGTCATTGTTTCTTGAGTGCTTGTCTAAGCTCTAAATGGCTCTGCATTTACTTGCACCATTGTGCAGCCACCAGGTACACCATCTCTAGAAATACTGAGTACAGTGCCAGCAGATAAATTGTTTTGCCGGCATTCATGAGTCCAATCATCTTGCTGAGTAAAGGCGTTAATGAACTTGGAAAGCTGCGATTGAGTAAGGCAATGGTATGCCCTTAGAAAGGATTTTCATTGACAAGTACCAGCGGAGTTGTACCTTCAGTAATATTGATGACACTGTCCCTCAAAAACTCTTCCATTCATCTAACACTATAGAGGATATGCGTGCTAAGTATATTCATAGCTTTTAAGTACCGTATATCCAACCCACACAGTAAATTGGCCGCCATGTTGGACGTCAAGTTTATTAAGAGTTCAATGGGGGAAAACACCTTTTCTTGCCTTGCTACCTTCTTGAGGCCTTTCTCGGAAGCTTAGAAAGCATCCTGAGGATCTAATGGGGTCTAGTAGTCACCTGAAAGATTGCTATCAAGAAATACAGAGCGGTTTCCTGGTACCAAGCCTTTTTCTATCATTTCTCCATTGCTGCCAATGGAAAGTTGACGTCCAACGAACTAATTTTTTTTCTTGAAAGTTATTACGGTATGCAATGAATACATTTATTTTGCAATGAATATACTTAGCACGCATATCCTCTATTAGCTGGAGTCCTTCCTGGAGGAACGGGTGATGATGCCAAATTCAGAATTGTATGAATCGTATTGTTATCTGTAAAGAAGAAAACAATGCCGGAGTCTTCATCCTCATCAACACAAAGTTTATCTTTCTTTTTAGGATTGGGTTTTACGACTTCCAGCTCTGTCTTATCTGCTGTCATTGAACTTTCATTTTCGGTCTTGATTTGTTTGCCATGGTACAATGTCTGCCATGTACAATGGCAGACATTGCAAACATTGTACATGTTTGCCATGTACAATGTTTGCCATGGTTTGCAATGTCTCTGACATGGTACAGAAAGAGGCTAGCAGGTTAGTACTGAGTAGATTGGCTGACAGGATCATTACTGAATCTAATAGTCAACAACTAACTCCACTTATCAAAATACAGGAGCTCCAAGGAATTTTCTGTGTGCCTGAGAGTAACTGTGATAATATGTACTATGTAGGTTTGTAAAATACATGTAATAGTAGTAATTAGTAATACATAATTTTAAAACAGGAGCTATAGCAAATTGACAGTATTGAGCTTGTATCTGTTCATCTTCAATATTCCAGTGTTTCAACATGTCTTTATATTGAGAGCAAATGTATGCCTCGTGTAAAGTCTGGGTATTAAGCACAGCAGACTTTCTTTTGAAATTGTTGTTAAGCCAGTGAGCTGTTAGGCTCAGTAAAGAGTCATTGCTAACAGAGGTACTCCATATATCAGTGGTAAAGCTAAACCACTTGACACCAGCTATTTCCTTCCTTACTTCTCCTTCAATTGCTA